ACAGCAGGGTGGGGTAAGGCAGCCCGACTGCTGGGAGGAGACGCAGCTGGGGGACAGGGCAGGGGTCTTCAAATAGCAGGTGCACACAGATTTCCCCAGGAGGATCCCAGCAAGGATGGCTTCAAGGGAACCAATTTCCAAAGCCTTAAGGTTCCTAAGTTTTCTTCTGAAACTGCAGGGGGGAAAACACCACACCTTCCCAATAACCCATTCACCATTTACAAAAGAAAGGCAGATCTTTATCCACCCCAAACCTTATTACGGAGCATTTCCATAGTAACAAAACAACAACAACAAAAAACCCTCTTTCGTCCCAGGTTGCCAAGCTGAAACAGTGTCTTTCCCTGTTTGCATATATATTGTGAGGGGCGGAGCTTGGCTTTTGGGGTGGGGGGATTATCCAAACTCAAACAACTTAACCAAAGGATCAGAGATAATACTCGCCAGTATGGGGAGCTGATATCACCCGCCTCCTCGGGTAGTGCATGGAGAAGGACACAGAATCACTTCTGTGGTCGTCCAGCCAAAAGTGAAGACCTGAATCTAATCGTAAGAAGACACGAGACAAGCCCCAACTGGAAAACATTCTGCAAAATAACTCGCCTGCGGTCTTCAAAAAGCATCAAGCTCAAGAAAGACAGAGGAAGGCTGAAGCAGTGTTCTCACATCTTCTGGAGACACGACCACCAGATGCAATGTATAGTTTGGATTCGATCCTGAAGAAAGAATCTATAAAGGAAATTACTGGGACAATTGTTGAAATGCGAATATGGACTGTGGACTAGACAATAGTATTGTTTTAATAGTAAATGTCCTGACTTTGGTAATCTTGCAGGACAGGGATGGAGCAGGACTCTCAGGAATGAAGCCTAAGGTTTGGGCTAGCAGAGGACCATCTGATGCCAGGTTCTCATACACTGGTCCAGCTGGGTTTTTTAAGGTCAAAAGAAAACAGTTCTAGTGGAACCATGTTAAGAACGTCTGCCCTAGAGGCTGAGGCTGGCCGAGTGTTCTGGTGGGCACAAGTGAGCACACGTAGCCCCTTGTGAGACACACCACAACCTGCCCCAAGGCACGTGGCCCCTCCTTCAAAAGCCCATGGTCTCCCTTAGTCAGAGAGACAGATTTGAGGCAGCTTCTGTTGACAAGAAGTCTGTAGAATTAAAAATTCCTTTCTTCCTTGGCAATCCTCATTGTCTCAATAACTGGATCTTTGTCTTAATAATCGGATCTTTGTGCGATGAGCAGCTAGACCTAAATGGAAACCCCCTTGCGTTTTTGACAACATAGCACGGTCATAGCAATGGCAGTAGTGTCCCTAGGTACCCGTGGGGAATTGGTTCCAGGACCCCCTCAGAGACCAAAATTTGAGGATGTTCACATTCCTGATATAAAAATGGTGTAGTATTTGTATCTAACCTACGAATGTCCTCCCATGTACTTTAAATCATCTCTAGGTTACTTAAAAATACCTATACAAATAATATATAAATAGTTGTTATGCTGTATGTTTATTTGTATTATTTTTTATTGTTGTATTGTCATTTTTGTTGTTTTTTTCTGAATATTTTTGATCCTCAGTTGGTTGAGTCCACAGATATGGAATCCACAGATACAGAGAACACACTGTACTCCTTCCTATGCACAGAATCCTCCAAAGTAGGAATAACACTGCCATTTTACTTTTTTTTATTTTAAAATTTTAACAGAGAGACAGAGTCTCACTGTGTTGTCCAGGCTAGAGCGCTGTGGTGTCATCCTAGCTCGGTGCAGCCTCGAACTCCTGGGCTCAAGCAATCCTCCAGCCTCAGCCTGCCAAGCACTAAATATTGATAGCTAGGACTACAGGCGTGCGCCACCGTGCCTGGCTAAAGCATTTTAAAGAAGCAGAAACTGAGGCTCGTGTTGCCTGATGCCACTACGGAGCTGGATTTTGATTCTTAACACAGAGGCTCTTCCCAGTAAACTGAGCTGCTTTGAGTTCCTTTGGTTCCAGCGCTGCCCCCCACCCAGAGCCTCATCTTGTTCCTGCCAAATATTGTGGTTCCAGCTCAAACCTCTGAGTGCATGACTTACTCCTGGGTCACAGAGCTGCCTTGGATTTCAGAGATGCGGTTGGGGTATCTCAGCTCTGGAACATTGTGTTGAGAAGAATCTTCCCAATGGTGTCTTCCCAGGCAGCCCGGAGGAGCTCAGCCGGCTGCCCTCTGGACCATGCAAAGGCCTCACAGAACACAGGGAGCGGGTGAAGATCCCAGTGTGATGTTCCGTCTCCAGCATCCCTCAGGGCGAAGGGTCCCAACCTGGCTGCTCTGGCTCTGCCCCTTCTCATTCCACAGCCTGGTCCTCACCCTTTAGTGGCCTCCTGCTCCCTAAAAGCAGTTTAGAGACCTTTCCTACCAAATCCTTAGGCAATGCACTAGCAACAGGCTCAAGTCCTGCTCCACGACAGAGACAGGTGCCTCCGACATTCATTCGCTGTAGGATCCTGGACAATTGTGTGGTAGCCTCTAAACCCCTGGTTCTCAACGCGGGCCCCAGGCTTCAGCACCACCTGGGAACCTGTTAGAAATGCATATTCTTGGGCCCCACCCCTTACCTACTGGATCAGAACTTTGGGCGTGGGGCCCAGCAATGTCATAACCAGCCCTCCAGGTGAATCTACTTTAACGCTATCTTGTTTGTGAAATGGGTATTATCAATGTTCCTAGATCAAAGGTTTGTCAAGGACTAAAGGAGACAGTCTGCATTCCTGGCAGGAAGGTAAAGGCAGTAGGTGGCAGCTGCTGTGACTGTCATCTCACCAGTAATGCCTCATCATCATGCTCGGTCACGGCTGTAGGAGCACAGGCCGTTTCCCAAGAATGGCGGCACGTTACCCTCCTTCTTTCCTTTGTCCCCTCGGCTGGGCCAGGGCTCAGGCTACCAAATCCCAGTGCTTCATTGCAGCTTCTTTAGTCAGCCCTAAGTCACTGGCCAAGGCCAGCATTCCTTCTCCACCTGCTGGCTGTATCCATTGTCCGGGAAGGACATCACCTCGCTCCTAGGCCCAGCCCCTCTCCCCACTTTTTCAGACCAACAGCACCCAGAAGCTGTCCATAGACTTGTCCCCTCCCCACCCACTCCAGGGCCCCCAGCAGACTCCATCTCGCTATCACCTTCCCCTCTTCCATCCTCTGCCGGAAGGTCAGGCCACCAGCCTTCTAGACTCTACCAGACACGTCCTTGGTGGGGGAAGGAGGGGGCGTTAGAGGGCGAGTCTCCTTGAATCACAACCTAGCATAGGCATCTATCTAAATTAGCTGCAGGTAATGTAAAGACAGCCTTGCTAAAATAACAGGAAAATATATACTTTTGCAATTTTCTAATAACCCAACCTCCCCTACCTAGGCTTCATTTTGTTTCAATTTCTAAATGAAAATGGTCCTTTTTTTTTTTTTTTTTTTTTGGTCACCTTGGAGTGGATTTGCCTCTATTCTCCAACTAACAGGCTGGAAAGACAGTGCATGTACAATTCAGTCTGCCAGTAAACACTGACATTGGAGTAACGATAATACAATGTATCTGCAAGATGGGGAAGTCAGTTCAAGAAAGAGTATTTTTATCACCAGTTTTCTCTTTACATTTCCAATCCCTTCCTTGGCTCTCCCAGCCGCTGCCTCTTTTAGTTTGAGCGCTCAGCTCTCATCTTGTAGCCCCAGGACAATACCAGGGAGCTCTTTAGAAATACAGAATCTCCACCCGCCCCACTGAAACTGCACCTGCACCATCACCAGCTCCCAACTGATTCATGCTGAGAAGCTGCAGAGAAGGGCAAAGCTTTCCAAATGTCTCCATAGACAAGTTCTCCGGGGATGCTGTTTAAAACAGAAATCGCCGAAGGGTCTGATTTAATAAGTTTGGAGTGGAACCCAGGAATCTGAGCTTTTAAAACAATCTCCCCATTCTTATGATACAGTAAATTTGTAATCAGGGTCACCAATAAGTATCTGAAAACAATTCATTTTGACCCCGGTGTGGGGCTTTGGGGCAGCTTTAGTTTGAAGATCTGAAGGTTCTTTTGTTGAATGGAATTTGTGGCATCTGGGAGTGGAGTAGAGACCACCTCCCAAACTCCTGCTCTAAAAAAAAAAAAAAATTTTTTTTAATTCCAACAATTCAGCGGGAAATAAGGTAAAAAGGTGAGTTCTCTTGTTGCTGATACCTGGTACCTGAGATCAAGGCGAGATGGCTTAAACTAGTAAAGTGGGGATTGTGTGGCCAAATTCCAGGATTAAGGGGGATGAGCCGGAGCTGGAAGTGGACACAGGTTGGTGACCAGGTGGGTCCCCACCTGTGCGGGGCCTGATACCCTCGCGCACGTCGGTGGCTCTAGCATCGCAGCGCTACATCCTGGGGGGTCGGGAGAGGCGGACGGAGCTTTTTTTTTTCCCCCAAAACTGCCAAAGCCACCGAGTCTGCCAAGCTCCCCACTAGCCAGCTCTCGGGTAGCCCCCCGGAGCCCGCCCCCTCCGGTCTCCCGCACAAGGGCGCAATTGACCAGCGCGAGCCGCCTCCGGCCCACCCAGATGACGGCCAACTTTTTTTTTTTTTTTTTAAGCCATCAACTCCAATATTTACAAGAACAATCCCATGCTTGGTTCTAAAACTCCTGGCCACACAAGGAACAGTTTACTTCAGCCCATAACAAGAAAAACGTAGGCTTGTGCCTTACTCTTTAAAAAACAGAATAATAAATATATTAATAGCTTAAAAAGAAAAAAAACCCACCACTTATTGCAGGTGGCCCCCTTCCCTCCCGTTGTAGAACGGAATAAAAGCGCATTTTGCCGCCCCGGCCCGCAGTCCCGGCGGCCCCGCAGCTGCGGCCCTGTAACTTTAAACCTGGCCTGAGATCATCGCTTCGGTGCCGGCCAAACAGAGCCCGAGGGCGGTGCTAGCGCGCCCGGACTGAGACCACCTTTCTGCGACCCGCTCCCCGCCCTCGCGGGGAGAGATAAATGCTGACTCGGCGCGGAGTGCCCCGCCGCGCAGCCCGCCCCGCTCCGCCGCGCTCCCCCGGCCGGCCCGTGGCTGCGGAGCTGCTTCGTCTGCCCCCAGCTCGGAAACCAGCCGCGCTGCGCCCCCGACAGAGCGAGTCGGCCGGCAAGATGTGGAAGGTGCCGGTTCTGCTCTTCGTTTTGGGAAGCGCATCGCTGTGGGTCCCGGCAGGAGGAGGTAAGGCCCGGGGCGAGCGGCGTCCTGCAGTTGCGGGTGGGGACAAGCGGGCAGGGACTTGTGGAGTGCCCGGGCCTGGCAGTCGAGCTTGTGCAGGAGAGCGCGGGGGAGCTGGGACCGTGCGCGCGCGCCAGGGGCTCAGCGCCCGGAGGCGGAGAGGCGGCGGTTCAGCCGGTCCCGGGAGGAGCCCCGCAGTCCACAGGCGGCGCGGTGGGCAGCAGAGGGCCTCCCGCGGGGTCCGCTCACGAGAGATCGAATGCCCACGCCTTGGGAGAAACTGTCCCGGTGGAATCTGGAGGGACATTCCGGGAGGCAGGACCCGGGAGGAGGGTTCCCCTTGCCCCAGGGGCTCTGGTCTCTCCTGGGACTCTGCCGTGTCTTAACGCACTGTGCGCCAGCATGTTGGACACGCTCAGGACCCCATCGCTGGGCTGGAAGAGGCCTCCCTTATCCTCTTTAGAGAGGATAGTGTGTACGTGGAAAGAATCCAAGTGGGGCCTTCTGAGAAGTGTGAGGTTTAAGTGGGTTTGGGGCCATGTGTTGAACTTGGGCAACAGTGTCAGTGACTGAATTAGTGTTGGTGACTCCTTGGAATTTAAATGTCCTTGATCTGATGATGGAGCCGGGAGACACCACCTGCCCCGTGTCCACATCTTCCCTTCCTCTTTGTCCTTTTATTTCCCTTTCTCCTACCTTGCCTCTTTTTGCCTAGTTGCTCTGTTGGTGGCCTCTCTGAACATCTCTCAACATTTTGTTTCTTTTCTTGGGTCTTTATTTTTCTGTTTCCCCAATACAATATAAACTCCATATGGTTGAGCATGTGGATTGGGGAAAAAAATAGAATACAAGCTCCAGAGGACACAGCTACGTCTAGCCTTGATCCCTAGGGCCAAAACTATGTCTGGCACGTAGTAGTTGCTCACTAAATGTTAGTTGAAGGAATTATAAACTAACTACTGATCTTTGGGGCTGGAGGTTGCAGAGTTGTGCTCTGAAAGGTAAACTCCTAAATTTTCCAAATAGAGGATCAAGGTAGGCACAGGCCTAGGGGAATCCTTCTTGGAGAGGGAGTAATTTGCAAGAGGAGTGGACCTAACCTAGGCTTCTACAATTCCATGCAGACAGAAATACCCAGCCTTAGGGAAATTATATGGAGTGTACTGTTCTGTGCTGGGCTGTCTGCTCTGAAGAGACTGAGTAACTCTCTTTACGGGGGCCATGGGCTATTCGTGGCAGTCCTATCTTTGGAACTTCTCTTTCCCCCGGAATATATACAGTTCTGTATTTCAGTTACATTTCCTTTTTGGCGAGACATCGCACCATTCTGTGCTCCCCATTGCAAATGGGGGGAGGTCCCTGACCTGAGCCTCTGGGACAGCGGCTGGGCAACATCCTCGTTTTTCACCCAGGGAAGCCTTAGCTGTAATTATCTTAAGCCAGGTCCTTAATGTCACAGGTACTCCTAAAAGGTGGTGTTAAACTTTGTCTGAAAATATCCTCTTTGGCTAAAGAAAGAAGCCGTGCTCGGGCTGTGTGGGGGGCTGGCTGAGTGTGGACACTGAGTGCCTGGCTGCTGGCAAGGAGCAGAGGCCCAGCAGGGCCTTTGTCTGAGATTAACGCGTGAGGGGACTTGAATATGGATGAATAGCTTCACTGAGCTGAGCTATTGTTGGCTCTGGTTGGGGAGCTGGGCTGGGGGGTAATTATGGTGATGAATGTTATTATCCTTCTCTTAGGATCCTATGCCCTACTGGGTTTCCCTCCTTTGGGGTTATAATCTGGTTCAGTTTTATAATCTGCTCCCATGTGTCATTTCCTTGGATGTTAGTGGATTCAAAGGAGGTCTGTTGTCCACACATCTGGCATTTTCCTCAATTGTCAGGCCGCACCCTCACTCTGAACTTTCATCTAAAATGAGGCCTCTCCAGCAGACAGTTTATTTTGTGAAATTCTGCAAGCTGCTGCTTGCTGCTAACTCACATGTGCTTTTCCGGGACCAATCCACCCAGGATTAATCATGCAGCAAACAAATTTCCCTGTGATTTCCCCGAAACTCTTGCCAGTTTTGGAGGCCTTGAAATCTTCATGAATTGCTAGGAGTTTTTGTTGCATTTGAGGCATTTAATGAAATGGGGTCTGTTAGAGGCTTCGTGAGGGAGGCATCTCTGTCCATTACGCTGGTGTGTAAGTTCCAAAATACATTCAATACTGGAAAGCACATTTTAAAAAATGTGCCCGGGCATGAGAAGGCTAAATCTAGGTATGGCCAACAGGACTAAACAATTCTCTTCTCTGGCTTTTGTAAAATGAGCAGTGACTCTATACCATAGAATTATGAAGACCCTAAACCTTGGCATGACAGTGAATAGTCCAGCCAAGAAGGAAGAACACCACCCGCCTCCCGCTCCCATCCCCAACCACGTGCTGGAATGTCCCCAGCCATCTCTTTTAATTGTCACAGCTCTTATAAATTATACAGTATTATCTCAGAAGATGCCAGAACTGGGGTTCAAAAATGGGTCTAACATCAAATCTCAAGCTCTTCTTACTATACCCCTCTGCTATATTAAAAAAAAA